TGACGTCGACTAGTCGCTGGTCCTATAGAGGGTGCAACAGGATAAGAAATCTTTGGAGGACTTCTACATTTACGCTCTGTTTCCAAACAGTTAAAATGACAAATAAGTTGTTAAGCCCCTTTTGAAAAAGAGCAATCTTGATAGCACCATATTGAGCAACTACAGACCAATATCAAATCTTCCTTTTATAGGCGGAGTCCCACAAGGCTCAATTCTTGCACCACTCCTGTTTAGCCTGTATATGCTCCCACTAAGTTCCTCAGGTCTTTACACTGGCTTCCAGTTATATTTAGGATTGATTTTAAAGTACTTTTACTCGTTTATAAATCACTCAATGGCATAGGACCTAAATACATTGCAGATATGTTCACTGAATATAAACCTAACAGAGCACTCAGATCATTAGGATCGAGTCTGTTAGAAATACCAAGGGTTCACACAAAACAAAGGGAATCTGCTTTTAGCTATTATGCCGCCCGCAGTTGGAATCAGCTTCCAGAAGAGATCAGATGTGCTAAAACATTAGCCACATTTAAATGCAGACTCAAAACTCATCTGTTTAGTTGTGCATTTATTGAATGAGCACTGTGCTACGTCTGAACTGATTGCACCATATTTTATGTATAATCATTTTCTATTTTTAACTGTTTTAAAATTCATTAAATCTATTTCTAAATCATAAAAAAAAAATTGTTCCCTATTTTATTGTTGTGATTGTTTTTAATGATTATTTTATATGATTTTAATGATCATTTCTTACTATGTGTAAGTAAGTTGTTGTTTTTTAGCATGTAAGTTTGGCAGTGCTATTTTTTAGGATTACTGATAAACTACTGTCGTTTGATTGGTATTATTTGTATTTGTTATATATTTAAATTTTAGTTAAATTATGTCTGAATTTATTATGTCTGTATAGGTCTTTTATTAAGTTTTAGTTTTATTTCATTTGAGTTATTTTAATATTTCAACAAACTAAATGGAATTGAAATAATATATATATAAGTTTTAGCTTTTAGTTTTGGATCTGTTTTAGTTGTTTTAATACTACAATTGATTGCTTCTGTTGTCCTCATTTGTAAGTCGCTTTGGATAAAAGCGTCTGCTAAATGACTAAATATATAAATATATATATATATATATATATATTATAAAAACTTTTGCTTGCTCATAAAGTTCTTCATAGTCTATTTCAGTGGTTTCTAATCCTGGTCCTGGAACCCTTAGAACTCCTTAGATCTCTCTTATCTGTCATGCTCATCATTTAACTATTTCACAAACCCATTAAGATCCAGAAACTATTGCATTTTGACAGTGCCAATTAAGAAAAACGAAATAAAGAAACGAGATGAGCATTTTCTTACATGGCTCTTAGCCTTTGGAATGGCATCTCTAACACTGTTCAGACAAACTCTATTTAAGTCTATACTTTTAACTCATCTGTTTAGCCAGGCATATAGTTAAATCCCCATAGTCAGTTTCTAATCCTGCTACACTTATTCGGTAGGCTGGCAACTATTGATCCTTTTTTTATTAGAAGCACTAACATTACTTCCATTTATTTCCTTCGCCTACAACTTAGGACACCCATGCAGAGTTTCATTAGACCCTATCATGCCCAATCTCCTGGCTCAGCATCAATCCACACTTGAACTCCTGCAATATTTAATTTAACTACTTATTAAAGAGCAAATATAATGAAAAATACCCTGTTGCAAAAATTAACATGTACATGCTTATATTAGGACTGTCAGTCTATTAACATTTTTTATCTAATTAATTACATGGTGAGGTGATTAATTAATTAAAAAACTAAATTTGGGTAAATGACAGATTTTTTTTTGGTGAAGTATCCCTTTAATTTATTAATTTTTTTATAAATGAAATGATCCTCTAAAGAAGAAACTAAACCTGCCAGCAGGTGACGGTGAATGTCTTTATGAGTCATTCAAGTCGTTCAAAACGCAGATTCATTCAGAAACTAAACACCGCTACGTTGCTCACAGATACTTAACAGTTCTGCTGTGGCTTTATTGGTAATATTTTCATTGGCAAAATTGGGCAAAAACACACAATATTGTGTTTAAAATATAACAATATTCTTATTTACTGAACTGATGTATAAAATCACATTTGCTATTCACTATTTCACTATTCGGACATAAACAGCACTCTCTGCTGGTGTGATTTTGCTTATCATGTGATATAAATGAGACAGAAACTTATACAAGGGCATTTTTTGCCCCAGTATCTTGAATTATAGGGCATAAATACAGAGTTCTGGCATGAAACTCTAGATGGTGCAGTCCGATAGGTCTAGCTCAATCTGACCTGGTGACATCATTGTCACATGGCAGCTGACTGATTCTCTCCTGTATCGGTAGCCCCATTTCAACTGGGGTTCCCCATATACATCGGCCATTATCCCAGTGTTCACGTTCGTTATTTCTAAGGTCAATGTTTTCATTGTGATGAGTGTGTTGTTGATTTCAGTTGCACGCAGCGTCAGAAGCACGCGCTTATCACAGTCATATCAACGATAGTGTTGTGGGAGAAGGGAATTAAGAGTTATCGCTATGGTTATTTATGGAACGATATTCCGGACAATTTTCAAATAGAATAGCAAATTGTATTTTCAAATTGGTAATTAATATTGCTATTTAAATATGACAGGCTCGTAACTCCTAAGACATGGGAAATACAGTTGCAAATGGACTTTGCTTTTTCATTTGAAATTTGGCCGTCACTGTGCGTTCGCGAAAGCGAAAATGCAAACGCTAATGCAGGATTTGCAATTGCATTTGGATTATGTCACAATTTATGCGTCCACATATTGTAAACACAATTGAAAATACAATTTGCTATTCTATTTGAAAATTGTCCGGAATATCGTTCCATAGTTATTGCAGTTCCAAGTGAAATGCATTGTGGGTAGTGTAGTTTGGAGAAATGTGCTCGTGTGACATGTGCTATCGTGTGTTGTGTAATTCAGAAAACTGAGAAAGAATGTTTATATTCTGCTTTATTTGTTCATTCAAGTCAGTCCACCCAGGAGTTTGTGCACTGTAACCCTGATAACTATCTACACAAGAGCGTAAAATGGCATGCATCGGCTAACTTTGTCCGTCTCATCATTGCACGAACACGAATTAACGAGCTGTTATGCTGCCGCTGGGACTGATGAAGTGTAGAAAGTAATAGCAGATATTAAATGACTAAATTATGATATTTGCTCAGGTGAATTCTGGAGTCTTATCTATCGGATTGCAACATATCCATTTTGTTAAGTAACATTACACACAGTGCGCGTCTAATTAGAGTTAAGCCAGTCGGCGTGGTAGCCCAGGCAAACATGGTCATAGGTCATTATTGTTAAGCCGGTTGGCAGGGTAGCCAAGACTCACATAGTCGTAGCCCACTATTGTTAAGCCGGTCGGCGTGGTAGCCAAGGCACACATAGACACAGGCCACTAGCGCTAAGCCAGTCGGCGTGGTAGCCCAGGCACACATAGATAGTAATACATGCGGTTCACATGGTTTTTCGGAGCAGCAGTGCAAATTTCTTGGCGATAGATCTGCTTTGTGGGGGATGTCTCGTCTTTCCTTGTCTGTTCATCTTCATGTGTGTGGATACATGCATGTCCACTGATGCAGCAGTTTATCATTATATTCAGCGGCATGCACATATATTGGCTTGTATTGTTTTGTGTAAAGTGTCCCCTGCTTTGTGGGTTATTCATATGTGTTATATGTGCAGCAGCAGTATTTCTTACATGCTTACAGCAGCATGTTGTGGATGTATTGGCAGTAGCAAGTCTCTGTACTTGCTCTGCCGCAGCACCAGCAGCAGCAGCGTAGCAGATCTATTCCGCCAAGACCAAATACATTAACATTGGCATGTACATTACCATGCCAGTCACTCTGAGAGTTGTCATGACAGAACTGCATTAATTAAGTTGTTGCCCTGCATTATATATGTCAACAGTACGAAATGTAAGATGATGTACAGGTCTTGGGCGGGGCTAGTGCATTAACTGCGTTAAAATATTTTAATTGTGTTATTTTTTCATAATTAAGTTAATGCGTTAAACTGACAGCCCTAGTTTATATAAAACATTAGGTACTTTTTAAGCTAAAATGGTAATAATCACAAGATGCTGAAAAACTTTTTTCCCCCCACAGTATTCCAATTGATCATATTCAATCTTGCTTTCACACAGACCTATATAAATATAAACCTTGCACATTTCCATTCATCAAACCTTCTGTCAATGCTAAATGAGGCACTTATTTAATTAATCACTACTCTTTCTTTTGTCAAAATCAACCTAGCAGTGAGGGGTGACAAGATTTCATTAACAACAGTCGACTGTTGTGACAACCCCTAGCCAAAGTGTTCTGAGGTGGTAAGCGAAAGCAAAAGACAGCAGGAAAGACAAAAATTAAGATTGACAAGCAAAAGAACTACTTACGTGACAGCATACTGGGCAAAAGACAGGTACTCCACAATAACATCAAGCCCTTTATTTTCCTCATTGAGAAACTCTCTCACCCACCTAAGTGAAGAACAAAACATTTAATAACCTTTCTCCGACTGAATACCTCAAAAGAAACCTTTCACAGTTCTAAAATGAACTTAATTCATGTTACATTGAGGTTGATTCATTGGACATGTGACTCACCCGATGTGATTGGTCCTAAGAGATATCTCCAGCTCTCTGAGCACTTGAGTTGACTCTTGAACTCGCCTTCTAAATTTCTGTCAAGAGGAAGAGATCTCCACTTCTGAGCAAGTATGTACTTGATTTGGTTGGAAAGTAGCAAATGCTAATCTTTTATCATCAACTTTTTTGAGACTCAGTATGCAGAATGCATGTAAACAGACTCTCTCACCTGATCACATATCAGCTCCCATTTTTTTTCATTGTCATACTGTCTAAGGAGCCTCACTTTATCCGGAGGAAGGTTCATAGAGTTCTGAGAAAGACAGAAAAAGAGTCAACATTCTTTTTTCTCACACATTTGAAAGCATTCTGTACATAACATGTTAATCAAAAAACACAAGTGATGAAAAGCTAAATAGCTAGTCTCTAGAGACACCATGGATTTTTCTTTGCAAGTTGTTCAAAAGCAAAGACGTCACAAGCAGTGCATAACCAGTTTACTATTTTGTCTCATCTCTCCTATAAGTTCAAATTTAGATTCCGTCTGTGAACAGACTAAATATCTTCAGAACAGCCACATTCCTCTCTGCAACAATCATACAGAAAATAAATATCTGCAATTTCATACAGAATATCATCAGCATTTAAAAAAAACTATTAACTTAATGAAACATTCATGAGGCTCCCTAAAGGAATAGTTCACTCAAAAATGGGAATTTGCTAAAAATCCAACATGTAGATGAGTTTGTTTCTTCATCAGAACAGATTTTGGAGAAATGTAACATTATATCACTTGCTCACCAATGGAGTCCAAACAGCTGATAAATACATCACAATAATCCACATGTAATCCACACAAGTCCAGACCATCAATTAACTGTGTTCGTAAAAAACAAAACCATTATTAATGTGTCACTTGAAACTGTCGGTTCTGGGCAAAATACCAGTCCATAATCCATAATAGTGTTTCCACCAATAAAATGTTGTCCTCTCACATCCATATTCACAAGCATTTTGTTTAGAACAGTTTTTCCCAGGTGAAAAAAAGTGCATTTCCGTAATGTACGGTAGATAAATTGCTCTATTTACAGTTTTATTTCATTTATTTTCAGCATGTGCACGCTTTCGCTTAACGTAATCAGTGTTGTTTACGTTCAGTAGACAGCGCGCGCATGCTGAACGTAAACAATGCTCATTACATTGATTACGTTCTGGGGTACTCCCCAAAATGGCAGAAGACGGTAACGCAGGGAGAAGAACCGCTGAATAAGTCATGCTATTATTGTTTTCTTTGCGCACAAAAAGCATTCTCGTAGCTTCGTAAAATTACGGTTGAACCACTGATGTCACATGGACTATTTTACCAATGTCTTTGCTACGTTTCTATGCCTTGATCATGGTAATATCCTTGCCGTCTATGAAGGGTCAGAGAGCTCTCAGATTCCATCAAAAATACCTTAATTTGTGTTCTGAAGATGAACGAAAGGTCTTACGGGTTTGTAGCGACATGAGAGTAACTAATGACAGAATTTTCATTTTTGGGTGAACTATCCCTTTAAAGGGGTCCTATTAAGCTTTTTCACTTTTTCAACTTTAGTTAGTCTGTAATGTTGCCGTTTGAGCATAAAAAAGATCTGCAAAGTTACAAAGCTCAAAGTCCACTTCAAAAGGAGATCTTTTATTTAACAGAAATCACTTTTCAAAAACTTCAACAAACTACTCGTTTTGACTACAACGCATATTTTCCTGGATTTGTGATATCACAAATACCGACGAATGGGACGAGACCTGGTTGAGCTGCACTAGAGAAGGCAACGAGTGTTATCACTATGTCGGAGACACGCTAGCTTTCCCAAAGCAGACGAACTTAGAGTAGTTACAATCATCCGGGTTTAAATCGCGCTCAAATTGATTTGATTTTGACGCAATATTTACACTGAAGCTCGCAGGCGGCTATGGTAAGGGGCGTGGCATTTTCCGACCAGGTGCCGAGTGGTGCCAATCACAAAATACACTGGCCCAGCTAACCAATCACAGCACATTTCGTATTTCAGAAGGCGGGCCTTCATTTGATACAGGAACTATTCGAGCCGTTCATGCCAGACTGGGGAGAGAGGTGTTGTAATAATGTAAAATATGTGAAAAATTATGTGTTTTTCGAACAACCTAGTATGAGAGCCTGTTCTAGTACACCCCCAAAACAAAATCAAGACTTTATAAAAGAGCATAATAGGACCCCTTTAAGTAATATAATGGATTGATAGAATCCATTTAATCCATTGCTTGAATTTAAATGATATTTAAATTAATTGAACTGAGCCCATCAAAGATAACTGATCTTATCTAACTGTTCTTCTATTTGGGCATAATAAGCCAAGCCCAAGTTTGATTAAATGATCAATGAGAGAAAAGCTCTGGAAATCTATCAGTCTGAGCATCAAATGAAAGCACAGCAGCAGTGCCCAACATGTGGAAGAGGGTGAAGAGACTTGGGCTGCAAAAGCCAACTCTATTGGGACAGAATTTGTGATGCAAATCTGAGAAAACAAGGCAGCATTAACCAATTTGCATTCACTCCCCCCGCTTCTCCTCTCTCAGGCACAAACACAGACTCAAACAGACAGACGTGCCCACACACATGCACGATGCACACATGGCATGAAGCGGTTATGCTGATTTGCAGACTTTTCATCCTCAATGCACTGATTAGATCATGAGCGTTCAGAGGGCAGGTCTCTAATGTAAGCAAATGATGTGTGTCTGTTTGGAGGACACCCTGAAAATCCAATCAGGGAGATAAGCAACGGATGACCTATTCTAAGTGCATTGATTAAAGACCCTTGAGAACTTCACATGTAAAGCTTGTCAAAAGAATGTGGTTTTGAATCCGTTACATTAATCAAGGCTCAGTAATTACAGACATGAACAGGAGCAGCTAATATCATTAAGAAAACAGGTCTGATCAAAGTCAATGGTACAATACAGAGACAGGTAGTTACACTTTACTGATCTCCGAAGGGAAATGTAGGGTCTCTGGGGAGAAATTTGTACCACTCCAAATGTAATTTTAATAGACTGCAAGCTAGATTCTGATGAGAAAATTAAATCACAGGATAGATATTATGTATGTCCCCCAAGACATTATCTTGAAGAGCCCTTCCTGACAAACTGGAGCATTTCAGACCCCATTACAGACAACAATCAGACAGATTGTGCCAATGGCTGAAATATCAACCAACAAGACCATACTGACATCGTAGCTCTATCTGTATCCAAATAAGTGCATTTACTTTTGATTTACTCATGTTAAAGCACCTAAAAGAATCCTATTTAAAGGAACATGCAGGGAACACAGTGGCCCTACAGAGCATGTTGCGATGACTGGATTAAAGGGTTAGTTCACCCAAAAATGCAAATTAGCTTGTGTTTTACTCACCCTCGAAGCATCCTAGGTGTATATGACTTTCATCTTTCAGACGAATCCAGTCGGAGTTATATTAAAAATTGTCCTGGCTATTCCAAGCTCTATCATTGCAGTCAGCGAGTGTTGCAGTTAAACAGTATACAAAATAAAGCGCGCATTCATAAATAAACGTGCCGCACACCGCTCCGGGGGGAGAATAAAGGCCTCCATGCGTTTTTGTAAGAAAAATATCCATATTTCAAACGTAATAAACACTTTTCTCTCACTTGCATTATCTGTCATACGCGGAAGCCGTTCCGGCGGATGATGCAGCACGTATGCGCACCGCTGAGATATGCTAGTCTGGCGAGCTTGTTTATAGGAACAAAGTTTCCTTACTTTAGCAAAGGAAAACCAGTCTCCTCTACGTGCGGCACACCGCTCCGGGGGGAGAATAAAGGCCTCCTGTAGTGAATCCATGCGTTTTTGTAAGAAAAATATCCATATTTCAAACGTAATAAACACTTTTCTCTCACTTGCATTATCTGTCATACGCGGAAGCCGTTCCGGCGGATGATGCAGCACGTATGCGCACCGCTGAGATATGCTAGTCTGGCGAGCTTGTTTATAGGAACAAAGTTTCGTTACTTTAGCAAAGGAAAACTAGTCTCCTCTTGGTTTATATCGAAATCCTCCAACATTTTTCTTAACAAATCCTCGGTTTGTACTTATAATTAGTGACCAGCGTTTTGTTTTGTGGGGAAGTCGTGGCCTAATGCAAAATGGACTAATGCAAAATTGCAAAATGCAAAATGGCCTAATGGACTCGTAACCCAAGGTTGCAGGTTCGAGTCTCGTACCGACAGGGATTGTGGGTGAGGGGAGTGAATGTACAGCACTCTCTTCCACCTTCAATACCACGACTGAGGTGCCCTTGAGCAAGGCACCGAACCCCCAACTGCTCCCCGGGCGCCGCAGCATAAATGGCTGCCCACTGCTCCGGGTGTGTGTTCACG